ATATTTCTGTATTAAGATTTATAAATTTCTTTACTTTTTATTCTTTTGCATAATACTGTATTGTTGCTCATTTGCAACTAGCATTCTGAAAATTAATCATGCTGTTTGTCCCACTAGCCTTTCATTTTTGCATGGTAGCTTGCCACTGATAGCCCGACTTGAGCATTCCTCTGAGAAAGTCTATCCTTTGAGTTAACATATTTCATTTGCCTCTCTGTTGTAAGCGAGGCTACCCTAAAATCCATGCAATGCAAGTTTACAGTCCTAGCTGCCTGAGGAGCCTTTTGTGGTCATTTTTAGTTTTAGTTTTTATTTTTTATTTTTGTTTTGTTTTGCTGTGTATTTACTTAAAATGAAATATGCTTGACATATTATAACATGGCGAGTTATCTTTAAAAACACTCAAAACAACTTTTAGGTGTTTTGAATGTTTTTAAAAACAAGCTTATTTGTATTTGAAAACAAAAATACAAAAAAAATGCACTAAACAAACATGTTTTTAAAAATGAAGTGAAAAAATAAAAAAAAGGAAAAAGAAAAAAAATGGACACATAGAGGACTTTCTATTATTATGAACTCTTGTGGATGAAGTGGAAAAATGAAAAAAAAAATGAAATACCTCTCTGAGCTTGCATGAGCTGCTTCCTTTGAGATTTTTAGGAGTACTCAAACTCAATTGAGGTAACAAAAATGTTGTTGTTGGATCTGATTAAGAGATAGATGCTTGAAATTACATTAAGCATCCAAAAATTGAATGGGGATGATAGAAGCTTGTTTTTTATAGTACATTGATGTGGAGAACTCTTCTCAATGATTTTTCCTTGTAGATTTCAGAAACCCCAATTTTGGCATCTGATAATTCTATTTATAGATAAGAGAAGAGGACAAAACCGTTTGTGGGGAAGCTTAAAGTAACGATTTTCACAACATTAAGCCTATGCATGAAACAAACTAGGTTGGGCAAGGTTGGGCCATAATGCAACCTTCAGCCTCCACGTGGAAGCATTAAAGTGACTAATTTTCTTTTCTGTCGATTTCATCATTTGCCTTGAGATGAATGGCAAGTTTGACAACTTTTGGGTAAAAGTTGGCTTCATTGCTTGATAATTGTTGATCAAAGCTTTGAGCTGCATCCTCGTTCGTGATCCATGTCTGTGCATTCTGACAATTGATGATCAATAATTTATGCAGAAAGGCAATCAAACTGGAGCCACATCATTTATGATGTTTCTTGTAGTTTGATAAAATTTAAAGTTGCTAATTATATAAGAGCTTGTTGATGCTGTTGTCTTTAATCAGTGGCCTTTGGACAAATTTTGTTACTAGATTTTATTTAATAACTAAAAATTTAATTTGATTCTTTACCGCCATGAAGAAAATTATTCTTTAACTTGTTATTCGTTCTGTCACTTAGTCATCTTATATTCCTGTGAAGGAAAAAAATGCTTTTTCTCTTATTTCTCAAATAAAAAAACATATTTTATATATTTATATACACTCATGTTTACAGATTGTGAATATCTCTTATATAGAAAATATTATGTAATTAGATATTTTTTAGCTAGGTTGCCTTATCAAACTTCCTAATATACACGCTTTCTAATATACAAGCTTTCGATTAATTTATTTCTATAACACACCCCCTCAAGTTTGAGCATAAATATTTATCATACGCAACTTGTTACAAATATATGTAACCCTTGCTTCATTAAGGATCTTTGCGAAGATATTTTATTTTGTGTCATTGAGGTCTGAAAAGGTCTAGAAAAATATTCTTTGAGTTTTATTTTAACAAAGATGTTGAATTGAGTTTTATTTTAGCACAAAAGGATTGAAATGTGACAATATTTCACAACGAGATTTTACAAGTTAAAGTCAAGTCATATGAGAAAATCATTCACAAAAGTAATTAAATATTGAAATTCATTCGCTAAAACATGACAAAGTCCCCATACATTAGAATGAATCAACTTAAAACTATGTCCGACTCTTTTATTAATTCTGAGAATATAAGACAAATGACGGTGTTTAGCAAATTGACGCAACTCACAATCTAAAGATGTAATTGGTGAAACTAAGAGTATAACTTTTTTTGCATTCATAATGATGGATGCTCTAATCCACAATGGATCTTATATGAAGATATGGTGTTGGACTGGTTATGGGTTGAGGCAATTTGTTGTAAACAATTTATAGTCCGCCCTCATCCTTTACAAATAATCTTCTCCGTCAAAAGATCCTGAAAACGACAATGGTCAGGGAAGAATATGACACAAGAGTTAAGACCACTTGTAATTTTACTCACAATGACAATGTTAAAAGTGAATCGAGATAAACTCGGGAAATATATTATGGTAGTGTAGATATAATATTCATGGTGCTCGAATCAAGAATATTAGAAGTAGATCTATCTACTAAAGTGACAAAAAAAGATGTTTATGAAAAGTGGAAAAGAGTTTTAGATTACCTGTCATGTGATACGTGACACCATAATCAATGACCCATTATCTGTAAGAGGACATAAGATAAATATCAGTGTTATCTGACTCAATAAGGGCAGTGATAGAGGGGGATTCTTTCAATGCTTTCTAAAATTGGATGAAATTATTATATTCATCTGCAAAAATTGGGAGAGTTTAACTCTGATAGGCCTTATTATTAATGATCATATGAGCCGATTGTGATCTCGAACCCTTCTGGTTCTTTTTTAAGTAATTTCTGGCACGTCCCCTTCATATGACCGGGTTCGTGACTGTAGTAGCAAACTACCCTTTACCCTTGATTTCCAAAATTCAAAGTTATACTTTCGTAATTATCGTATGGGGTTTACTAATTTTTTGTATTTTTTGACTAGCATGAGCTGCTGCACGAATTTAACATGAGAATTCAGAATAGTACGCAACACTCGAGTATAAGCTTCTTACAGAGTAGTTACTCTAGAGTCATATAGGATCTGTGATTTGACATCTTCATACTAAGAGTTGAGGCAAGCTAAAAAACTCATAATAGTCATTTATTCTCTTTGAGCCTAACGAATCTGGACGCTGGTAATGAAGTGTAACAATTCATTCTCATACACATGTTTAAATTGCATGTGATATGTGCTAAGTGACTTATCCTGTTGTTCAGCTTGATATAACTCCTTGCATACATAAACAAAAATTGAGAAATAGTTTCTCTCCCAAAAAACACAAACTTCAATTTCTCCATCACGTCTGTAACACAATTGCAATAAGGGTTGTAAAAAGCTCGTCGTTTGCAAGTGGCTTGTGCTCAGTTCTTTAAGTAGCTCATATTCGTTTTATTTGTTAAGCAAGCGAGTTAAAGATGAAAAATTTATTTAACCTCGATTTATAAATGAGCTAAACACGAACAAATGTTTGTTTGTTTGTGTTTGGCTCATTTTGGCTCTAAATAAATAAATAAATCAATAATTTTATTTTTATCCTTTTTATGTTAATTGTTATACCGTATTATAAAAAAAATGTACATAAGAGATTTGGGTTGTATAGATGTAAAAGGTAGAGTTTAGATGTTAAATGTATAAACATATTAGAATTGGCTAGCATGCATGTACCAAAAAAAATTAATAAAGCTAAGCCTTCAACAATTCCTCGGTCCCATCTCACCTCACGATCCCACTTCTTTTTGTTATGTTTGTTTAGGTGTTAGATACATTAATTTAAAAAAGGAATTGGCAGGTATGTATGTAAATGCCCAAAAATAAAAAAAATAAAAATATAAATCCGCAGTCACTTTTTTAGTCTTGCATGTGTGGGAGAAGTTTACTTACACTTTTAGAGGTTTTTAAATGCAGAAAGCCCTCTTTTGAGCACTAGTTGTCGTGTGGTCCACATGAGAGTTATAATTGTTGAGCCTCACTTTGAGCTGAACTCGTGCATGATTCAAACAAACATGTTTGAACGAGCCAAACACAAACATAAGCCTTGGCTAGCTCAAGCTCGGCTCGTTTACACCCCAAGTCACAATGAATAATATGACTAGATTGATCCGGTTCAATAGCGTTTTGTATTTGTATCAAAAGCTAGATATCTAGTCTCATCTACTTAGATTAATTCGACTCAATCTCAGCTGGTGGATTATCCATGAGGTGATTCGCTCGAGAAATTTTTCTTAAATAGAGTCTCACAGTTTTATTCGTAATCTTAGCCACTGATTAACCCAAACATGTCATAAGTTGTTTTTGTTCTCCAATCATAATCAATGTCATTCAGTGCTAAATAACGAGCCAAAGTAGCGATCAAAACACTAGGAGACATAACCCGACAACCAACCGTTCATTGATTGTTGAATAAAGAAAAAAAAAAATCAATTGGTGAAGCCAAAGTAGCCGAATGCTGCAATTGAGTAAATCGACCTAAGTAGATGAAGCAGACAAAGCGGCTAAAGCAGAATTGGGCTTCGTCGATGTCCTAATCTCGTCGATGCAGATAGGACAGATGAAGCAGATGCAAATAATGTTGAATATGCTGTTGATGCTAAGCAATGCAAACGACTCCAAATGAAAATGAGGCATAGATGATGCCGGATGAAGACAAACATATGTAAACGACAATGAATGATGCAGATGAAGCTGAATGTATCGTCGACTCTTAACGGTGGAGACAACGTTTAAGACTAGTGATCTAGACAACCCAAACGAAACTAAAGATGACCGATTCTCAGAGGTTAACATCAAAACAAACGACGCAGAAGGGAACGATTCGATGAAGCCCTGATGCCATGTGAAGGAAAATAATGCTCTTTCTCTTATATCTTAAATCGAAAAATATATGCTAAATGTTTATGTACATTTCTATGTTTATAGATTTCGGTATTTAGATTGCCTAATATCAAGCTTCCTAATATACACACTTCTTGATATACAAGCTTTGGATTTGTTTCTTTCCATAAAAATTCCCAAAAGCTTAGTTGTTTATAATTTCCTAGCATTTTTTTCTTTTCCTGTGTTTCTTATTTGAGTATGCTTTTGCAGAATGAATACATGTTAAGGCCTCTTAGCAAGCCTCCATCTCCTGAGGTTGTCAAAGTTTCTTTGAAAGACTGCTTGGCGTGCAGGTATGATAGCTCTTTTTGTCTTCTCCATGCTGGTAGTGGTTATTTGCGATGTAATGATATAGGTTCAATTGGTACTTTCTTCTTAAGAAACATGATTCCTGGTTTATAGCTGTTGGAAACTGCAAACTTAAAAAAAAGGGAATAAATGGAGGAATTTTAGAAGAATTTGAACCTATTAGAGGATTGGATATGGTTGTACTCATCTAATTAAATCGTTTGAGTTATTTTTTAAACTCATTTGGGCTAAGACATCATGGAAATGTTAGAAATTTTTGGAAGGATTAAGATTCAAAGCTTGTGTTTGAAAGAGAGCGAGCAAGCTAAATGAAGAGCGTGAGATAAAAGTGTAGAGTGGCGAGAGTAGCCACCTAGAAGTTCATCACTTTTTTTTAATTTATTTTGTTTCAATAATTTTTTATTAGTGCCAAATGTCTCTTTCTTATGTTGGTTAACATGGCGCAACCTCCAACCCAAATGCTGAACAAAAACTATGAGAATTACGACATCTAGAAGTGGGGTATTTTTTAGGATTTCAAAATTGTTGGGAAATCCTCACTGATGGTATTGAACCAACTTAAGCAGAGCAAATCATAATGCAGATTGTTGCTGACTAATGAAGAACTATAGGATGGTGGATTGAAGGGCATTGTCCCTTATTTGCAAGGTAGATGAAGCCACCTTTGAGAACATTGTAGAAGCTAAGTCTATCAAAAGAAGCTTGGCATACCCTTGCAAAGTAAGTTTGACTCCAACATAATTGAGTGTAGTTAAAGGAAGCTCATAAGAAGAATGATGAAACAACCTTCAATTATTATTTTTTATTCTAATTGTAGTTGCAAACTATATGAAAAGATATATTGAAAATATTGAAAATGGGAAAAATTCTTCAAAATCTAAAATAGAAGTATATGCATTTTTTTGCTATTATCAAAGAATCAAAATGTTTGGATGGTCTTACGATTAATGATTTGATGGAAATGATTGAGAAATTAAGCTGAGTATGAAATAATTTTTGAAAGCCCATTATAAAATTGGAAGGAGCAAGCATATTAATATAAGGTTTCATTTTTTTTATATGACCTGTTATACTACAAAATCGATGAGTGAGTTGCTTATCTATTTAAAAGGTATTGCCAATGAAGTTAATTTTTTTTTTATTTTGAACGTTGCTTGGAATGCTTGTGCTTCAAGTTGTCTGGAGCTCATGTTGAAATTCACACTTTTTAAATAGATTTAGTAGGATCTCTTAGGTGTATTATAAATGCCGCCATTGGAGGGTTGCTTATGTCAAACCATTCGATAAAGCCTATTCTCTCCCAATTTCCTTTTGAAAGAGTGAACCCTGAAAAGGTAGCAAGTGTACATGACACGAACTGTGATTATATTCTTACTTTTTTCTTACTTATAATTCTTATTTTGCAACGACGTCAAAAACTTGATCACCAACAACAACTAGAAAAAAACTTGGCTTCAAAGCAAATAAAAATACAATTATTATATTTAAATCTGAGATACTACACAAGTATATGTATCGTTATCAAGTAATATATGACATTTTGAATAAACCCCGAATAACGAACCCATAGGGAAAACTAAAATATGCATCTACAAAACATAATGAATTAGATAATAAATTCTACTTGGCAAAAAAAATAAAAAATAATATATATATATATATACCCACCCCAGATCAGTTTGACCGGGCATTTGCTTGTCAGTTGTAAGCTCTCTCTGGTCTGGGGTTCGAATCCCCCCCCTCTCCCTCAAGTGTAGGGTGTGGTACTTGAATTACTAGGCGCATTAGGGATGGGCAGGGCTCATATCATGGCCTCCGACCATTCCTTTTAAGATATACCTACTTGAGATCAAGAATTTAATGGATGATACTTTTATTACTTCGGGTAATTGTACGCACCTCACCAATTTTTTAGCTGACGCCCTTTCGAGAACTAGAGGCAGAGGCATGACTAAATTAGGCCATCCCTAGATTTTTGCGCGCTTTGATAGTTTTGGTTTTTTTTATTATATATATATCTTTTCTTTTTCTGTTTTGGGATTTTGTGTGTTGTTCTGTTTGAGTTTGGTGTTTTCTTTTGGGTGCACTCATACAACCTATCTGTATCTTTTTCTCTTTAATATGTTAGCCATTGAGTTTTTTTTTAATATATATATATATATATAAATATATATATATATATATATATTTCAAAGGAAGTTGTATTTGAGTCCTGTGGGCCTCAAATATCGATTCCCCTTTGCGCTCGGGCACCTATGATGGGTTTTTTTTTGAAAACCCCATGGGCTGATATTATTGAAATAAAGAAGATACATAAAGGTTGTATGAGAGGGCCCAATAGAGACACCTTAGCCATACGATACCAAGTACAATAATATCCCAGCTAAAAGATACAGATAAACTCAAAAAATTAAAATTTGCAGAAAACGAGTAGCTGGGGAAGAACCGGTTTAGTCCTGCCTCTTCCTCTAGTTTTAGGAGCGGAGCCAAATAACAAACTTTGAAGTGTCGTGTCATTGTCAGGAGTAACCAATTTATCATCCATTAAATTTCCAAGTTGGAGTGTTCCCCCATCTTTCTTCTTCCGTCGAGAAGTGTAAACCTGTCATTCTTTATCAAAAGATTGACTCATGCGATCCTCAGTCTGATTAGATATTAGAACCACAGTAGAATGAAAGACAGTCGTTGCTACAACGATAAGTTCTAGTGTATGTGCAATGTGAATTGTCACCTCTGCATCTGATGCTTCCTGAATAGGAGCTGTGAGTCCATCTTGATTTTCGGTCCGAACATGATCCGTTGTAGTATGGTCGAGAGAAGGGTTCCCAGGGGCAGACACCAACTCTTGTCTTGCGGTAATTCCTTCTATCCCTACTCAGGTTGGCTGTCATCAAGTTTGTTGGGAGCGCATTCAGGCACCTGGGGTGCACTAACGCACCTGGGGTGCACTAACATGTTCCTGCTTTTGACTATTAGTTCTCAACTATGGGTGCAATCTGAAACATTTCTCTTGCTGGTGTCCAAATATCTTGCAATGCTTGCAATATTAAGATTTTTGCTCCATATTGATTTTTCCAGACTTCTTCTACATCTGATAGTGTAATATTTCTTTCAATCAAAATCCTTGCAGTTGAGGGCCTTGAGAAATGAATTGTGGGTAAATCTACATGTAAAGTTTTTCCAATGATAGTCCAAATTGCATATAAGATAGGTAAGTCAAAGAAATGAAGCTTGAGTTCAGGTAATGAGAATCAGATAGGCGGAATTGGGGGTTCTTGACTTGGATCAAAATTAGGGGTCCATTTGAGTAATTTCATATGTTTGCCCTCAATTGTGATGAATTTCTTTGAGAAAATCATTGTGTAATCTTCTTCTATACTCAACTGTATCATAACATGTCTTCCGTCGAAATGACCCACCTGCCAAGCCCCAACTAGTTTGAAGTATTCAAAAACATTCCTGATAATTTCCACCTTTGGGCAACCTAATTGGAACTTTCCAACTAGTATAAATTTGTATTTTCCCGCACGAGTTGAAATTTCATCGTCAGAGAAGAATATTGCTGGTTTGTCCGTCTTTTTCTCTACTTTCTTGATGAGATTGCAATCTTCATATCCTGCAACAAAATCATGGTACATCTGCGAGAATATAGAACTATCTGCGAGGTGGAAAGGGGAGCTGCATTTGTGAACCACTCATCTCCACTTTGCTCTTGTAATGTTTTCTTCCAGGTGATCCACAAACCTTCCACTAGAAAATATCTCAAATCCATCACTCATTTCAACAAAGATACTTTTTTTTTGTTGTGTCCGAACTTTCAAAATAGTTTGTAAGGCCCCTCCCGCTGGTTTTGCTCGAGTTATTGCAAAATCGAAGGAACAAATTTTGCCATGTGTGAAAAATGGGTATAAATTATAATTTAAAGCAATTTTTAACTTATAGTTTGTCATTTTTTAGGTATTACCGTAAGTCTCATCCCAATTTAAGCTTTGATCTACTTTCATGCTAACATGCCCACTAATCAAATATTAAATCCACTAATGAAATCTTATGTTTTAGATACGCTTATTTGAATCAAAGATGAAATTCATGAACAAATGATTTTCATGTCATGCCTCTAAGCTCGTCAATCGTAACTGATATTGAACTGCAAATGGTGTTGTTTGTGCCTTTGAGTTGATCTGTGAAGCTGCTATGAGGAGCCCTTTATAGGTGAGTTGCCAATCTGGAAAGCACATTTTAGACACATTTTTCACCTCTATTTGCTTGGGATATGTGAGATGTGGTAACCTGTGGTTGCCAATCAGCTTCCTTAGAAAACTTAAAATCCCCTTAAATCGCGGAGTTGTTCCTGCAAATATACATAGGATGACATAATTATGGCTTCTTGATCTGATTTACCTACAATCGCTTCAATCATTTCCCACTCAATTAAAGGTGCATTCAATTTTTAAATTTAAGTCTAAAATTCTTGGACAAACATCCTCCATGAGCAAGAGAGGTAATTAATTGTAGGGGTTTGTGCCTAGAGGAATTCTCGACCTCGAGATCTCAATAAAATTACACATTACGTGGGGAAATGTGGTTAAAAGAAACATTATCTATTTCAAGAAAAAACTACTTTGAGTTCTTTTATATTTCTTAGATGCTTAAGGGAAGGGACTGACAATCTGAGCTTTTATTTGAATTAAAAATGTTGCTCTTGCATGATATCTTTAATTTATAAGTGATACGCTTGAACTTTGGTCAATAATTTTCCTTGATAATTTTGATCTTTCACGCTATCATCAAATTTCTAAAAGATACTTCTAATGTTAGGATTGTTACTATTGTTGCTATTTTTAAACTTCTTTAGTCAGATTTGATTGTGGCCATGTTATTTCACAGTGGTTGCATAACTTCAGCAGAAACTGTAATGCTCGAGAAGCAATGCTTAGAAGAGTTTCTTAGCCATATCAATCCAGAGAAGGCGGTAATAGTATCCGTGTCTCCTCAGTCAAGAGCATCACTTGCTACCTATTTTGATCTCTCTCCAGCTCAGGTAATTTACAATCTAGAGCCATATATTAAAAATTGCTTATTATAGCTGATTAATAGTTTTTATCCATCGACAACCTTTCATCTTTTGACATATAAGCATTTTTCTTTTCAGCACCTAGAAACTTGTTAAAAGTTTTACTTTTTTTTCCAAATGAATTAGTATTGAGTAATAAAGAAATTGTATATATTCAACCAACTAATGCATGATATATTATGCTCTCTGTGTAAGCTTCGAATTTAAACTTGTTGTATTGTCTGTTAAAAGTTTGAGCCATCCTTGTTTGCCATTCTGCTAATGATTTATTCATTTTAAAGTTGGATTAGTTTACTTTGTGACCTTGAATATCTAGGTTGAATTTTGTTAACCTATGCTTTGATATATTTCAATTTAGATGTGTTCCATTTTCACGCAATTTATTATGTTTTATCCAATTGCGTTAAACATTTTTTTATTGAAAGTGATGTACCTTATATGATCCACACAATTTATATTGTCTACTGATCCTCTTCTTTTTCTGCTCATAACTTCGCAGGTTTTCAGAAAACTGACAACTTTTTTCAAATCATTAGGGGTGAAGGCAGTTTATGATACAAGTTGTAGCAGAGACATATCACTCGTAGAATCTTGCAATGAATTCATCTCACGACACAAACATCACATAGCTGGCGATGAAGAAAGTGTTTCAAATCTTCCCATGATTTCATCTGCCTGTCCTGGTATTTTGCTTCCAATTTGTGTTAAAATTCGGTGTTCCCTCTTAATGTTTGACATTTATTTTTCATTTGTCACTTAAATTATCATGTATCAACTTTTCATTTCAAAGCATTAATGCAGCCATTACCTGCAAAGTGTATATAATTCATATCCCAAGTACTTAATGCATAACCATTCATTTCGGAACCCATAATTATTTGGAGAAAGGTTTATTCAGCGTCATTGATGAATCAACTATCCTTGTATATATATTGTCATTGTATTTTTCTAAGTAGAAAAATCTGGTTTTATGCCAGTACAAGATGACGGCTTTCTCGCCCTTAGGTAATCACACATGTATCACTTTTGAAGGAATCACACATCCAAGTTGCATTCACGAAATTGAAATTGGAAATAGAAATTTAATCTATGATAAATTTATGAATTTTATATCGAATCACATTTTGTAGAGTCCTCTTAGACTAGGTTAGTGAATAAGGTTGGCACTGAATCAATGTCAATTAAATTTTAACTAATCCAAATCTTTTTTTTTTTTTTTTGAAGCAGCCAAAGACCCCCTTTAGGATCACTTTTATTTTGTACCTTGTATTTTTCTGTTTTATTTTTATTTTTTGTGTTTTTCTTTGAATTAAAACATATTTGATTGTGGCAGTTATTTTTATTCAGGTGTTATGAGTGCTTTTATAAACAAGGTGATTTGTTTTTAATATATATATATATATATATATATTATAGAAAGCCCAAAAAAAGGCTAATATATTAAAAAGAAAGAAAGATACAAATACAATGTGTTGGATGACCCAAACATGACATCCTGCCAACACCAAAACCACAAGGGGTTCCGAAACTAGAAAATACAGAAAAACACATTAAACACATAAAGAAAAAGTTCAAAAATGTTGAAATACATAGTATCAGGTGACTAGATAGCAACCCAATTTGGTTTTGCCTCTGCCTCTGGTTCTGGGAAAAAAACAAGCTAATAAGTTGGTAAGATGATTGCCATTGCCGGTAGTAACCAATGTATCATATAAAATGTTCCCGAGCTGGAGTCGGTCTCCATTCTTTTTCTTCCTCCTGGAATAGACCTGTCATTCCTCTTCCGAGGACTGGCTCACCTGATCTTGTTCTAAAGTGTGTTGGAGGTGTGCAGATTGTTGAACATTAGAAACAACTACATGCTGTACCGACTGATTTGTTATTGGATCAAAAGAGCCCTCTCGTGTTTCTTGACATGTACGTGAGTCTTCTTCAATAACAGTGGGTGGTATAAGCACAACTAGATCTGTAGCTGTGTTATGTTGTTATTCTTCAGGAACTGGGGTGTTGGGAAGAGGATCGGGTTGCATATTCTCAACAAGGATAATAGGTGGTTGTTCTTTAGCGATATCCGACCTTAGATGAGGATGTAAACGATAACAAATAGTAGAGCTGTAGCCAAACATACTACAATGAGAGCAATAAGGAGGGTGTGGTTCTATTTCAATTTTTTGTCAATTCCCGTTGTGAGTGGTTTCAATCCATATCTCATCCGGAGCTGGTTGAGTGACATCCCTCTCAACAAACACAAAGCCACAAAGGGTCTGGTGACAGCAAGCGTAAGACTATCAACTTTGAGAGGCTTAGCATATGTCTGGTGACAGCAAGCGTAGGACTATCAACCCTG